CAGCCCTGGGTTGGGCTCCGGGTGCCATCGTGGAGAGGTGCTGCTAATAATAACACCATAAGGAGTTTACCCACACTGATCCGGCTCAGGACAGCAGTGGGCTGGAGCTGACATTACCAGCCTGGCCCCAGATTAGACAGATAAAAACTCACACAATAACGAGCCGTGCTGCAAAGCAGAGATTGGGTGCTGCCTTTTGGGGAGGGGGTGCAGGGGTTCTCCATGGAGGGCGTGGGCAGCGGCGCTGGGCTGCAGGGAGGGGATCTGCAGAGGTTTGCAGCCAGGCTGAGTGTGCCAGCACCGGGCTGTTCTCATTTCCTCTGCTCTCTGAGTTCTAATTTGTTCCACATTGCAGCGCTGGGGCGGCCTCTCCCTCCCCACAGCATCCAGGCTGCAGCCGTTCTCGCTGTACTGAGGCTGTCAGTCTGCGTGGTTTCCATTAGAAAAAAAAAAAAAAAACACACAAAAAAACCATTTAAAAAAAAAAAAAGGGAAATTTTTCAAACAGGGCTCTGTGCAAAAATAACCTTTCTGGGATGGCCACAGCTGGAACCTCGCTGGCCATCCGTGATGTGCACACGTGGGCAGCGCTGTGCAGAGCTGAGATGGGATGAGCCCTGGGGACGTCGCTGTAATAGCGACCAAGTGCTGGAATAGCAGTGGTGACCTGGTGGCTACAGATGGATGGGTCCAATCCCATCCCCCAGGCAGGAGGAGGGATCCAGTTTGGGCCTGGGCTGATTAAAGAGCTCAGCACCAGGAAGACATTCCTGCCACCGACGTGGCGGGTGGAAAATAGAGCCTGATGAGCAGAAGTGGTTCCACCCCCTGACATGCAGAGAGCCAGCCCCCTTGGAGTATGGCTTGGTGAGGGGTTTGAGTTAGGAGAGGTGATACTCCTGCCAAAATCTGCACTCCGTGGTATTAAAAAAATCACTCCAGTCCGGTGTTTAGAGGTGGCATTATCCAGCATCAAGAAAGCCCACACGAAATACACCCCATCTATTTGAAAGGCTGTTATCAGAGCAGATCTCACTGCTGGGCACTGCTGCCTACTGCCCTGCCTCAAAGCATTTCGGTGCTTTGATCGCTTGTTTGGGAGGAGATAGAAATGGTTTTTGGGAAATCTATGGCTCACACAGCGCTCATAGCTTGGACAAAGCTGGGCAAACAAAACGCATCCCAACGACGGCAGGCTGCGGAAGGGAAATCTTTCTGCTCCCAAAAATAACAAGAGGAGCTTGGAGTGTTTTCCTGTCCCTGACGTGTTGGGGTGAGCACAGCCCGTGTCCTGCAGGAGCTGCTGGAGCTGTGTGTCTGTCTGCCTTTCTGAGAACTGGGAGTTTTCACATTAATGACAATTTGCTCTGGAAAAACAAACAGAAAGTTCATTCGCTGTGTGAATACGTTGTATCTCATCGTAGAAAAGCTTTGGTTGGAAGGGACCAGTCCTTGCCCCATGGTGTGGCACTGTCAGATCTGGATTTGGGCTGGCAGCAACCAAAAGGAGCTCCTACATCTGGCTGGGAGAGGGGTGCAGAAAGCATCCTACAGCCGAGGATGAGAGCAACCCCTGCTCTGCCCACTTCTCATCAGTTCAGGATGGATGGGGCTCAATTAAGGCATCCAAACACTCTCGCAGGGGAGAAAATAGGTGGTAGCCAACAGCTCGTTAATTGCACGGAGCAAAGCATGACAGGAATCAATGTCTGGCAGCCGAAGCCAGACACGCTGGAAAGAAGGCATAAATATTTAAGCAGCGGGAGTGATTAATCACAGCAGCAAAGGAAGGTGGGGGGGTGCCCAGGCCCTCTTGGTGTTGTGCATCCCAACCAGCACCTGGCAGAGGGCTCTCCCATAGCCCACTGCTGGGCTGAATTGAGCCCACTCCCAGCTCCTGGTTGGGAATTTAATGGAGTGGTGCTTTAGTCTTGAATTGCCGTGGGATCTTTTCTGCAGCTTTATCTCATGCCCTGCTGTCTACTTCTGATAACACCCATGAAATCACACTGCAGGTGCAGCTTCTCCCTCGTGTATTTGGTTCCTGCTGGTCCCATTCCTGCATATCTGCACTAAGGAAAGTGAGGGGATGCTGTTTGGTGGCACTCCTCAATCTTCAGCAAAACACACCAAGATCCTGGGCCAAGGTCCAGGAGAAATAAATCCTGATGGGCATATGATTGGGCTCTGGCTGCAGGACCCATTGTGTACCCATGGGTGTCTCCAGGGATGCACGGGCTTGGGGAAAGCAGTGAGATCAGCAGCAAGCCTGTAACCTCCATTTCCTCTACACTATCCCTTTCTGATCTCATTTCTCCTCCTTTCACTATTCTCTCCCTGCCCTCTTTGCTGTCCATGCCTGGGTTTCCTCCAGCACTCTTCCCGCTGAGATGGGTCCTGAGCTTGGAGCTGGGCTGAGATATCCCACCCATGGGTGATGGGTATCTGCCACACTGTGGATGCTGCATCCTTCCTGCAGCCCTCACCAGTTGCTTTGAAGGAAGGAGGAATAAAACTGTTGGGGCTCCAAGTGGGTCAGCAGTGCTGCACATCACTGGTGGTGCATGGCATCTCTTCCCCCAAAGCAGAAGAGGGCACTGCGGTGGCTCTGAGCAGCCCGTGACCTCTCCTCCTCCTCCTCCTACAGACAGATGTGTGCTGGGACCATGTGTGCTGGGGGGATGCCCATGAGGAAGAGGACGGATGGAAGGACGGCGAGCCCGTGAGAAGGATGGCGAGGTAAGGGCAGCAGGAGGAGCAGAAACACTGGGATGTCTGCCTGGTGGATGGACCGTGTGAATACTAAAGATGTTTGTCACAGCACTGTAGAATGAGCACAGAATGAGCTGGCTTGGGTGTGATGTCCCACGAGAGCAGGGAGATGTGCAGCCACCCCAGGCTGGGGGCAGGCAGGGGTTGTGCAGGTGGGCTGGTCCTGATGGGCTCACCTCACTGCTGCTCCGGCTGCTGAGCAGATGAGCAACCGAAGGGTTTGTCTCAGTCTGGGCTTTGTGTTTTTCCAAGCACTTGCTCTGTGAAAAGCCTCTGCTGCTGCTCTCTGCAGGTGCTGTGTCTGATAGAAAGAAAATAGCAGTGCTATAAATACCGAATTGAAAGAGGCAGCAACCTGCCTGCTATGTGGGCATGGAGGAGTGACCTCACGGCAGCAGATGTTGCAAGGTTTCCCTCTGTGCTGTGGGTAATGCAGAGCAGAGGAGATTAAATCTGCCCACCTGACCCAGTGGCTCAGTGGCAAAGATTTATCTCCTGCATCCTTGTTCGCAGCGGTTTCTGCATGCAGCAGTTGGGGTTTTGGGGGTACCCTGTCCTGCTCCCAAGTGGGATCTGCCTCAGCACCCATTGACATGAAGGGGCAACCCAGAGAGGAGCAGCCTCTGACACAAAGGAGCTGCAGCTCCAGCCTAGTCCCTTCTTAGTTTCCCCAGTTGGAAGGGGGGCCAGAAGGTTGTGAAGTCCCAATGACTGAGGTGTCCCTGGGGTGAGAGGGGTGACCAGAGGTGCAGCAGCCTCCCAGGCTCGTCCTGCAGCCGTGGAACTCACTGGTGCCTCAGTTTCCCCATCTGCAGCATTCCAGGCTCTCCTGGCCCCAGGAGATCCCCACTCTGCAGAAATCCTTTGTGCACAGAAGCGAGGCTGTTCCCAGTGGGAAGGTGACCTCTTCCATTAGCAGCAGGGACGCTTTTTCTTCCCGAATTAGATGGCAGCGTGGAGGCTGTCCAGGGTTGGCATCACTGCTGACAGTGCTGGAGCTGCACCGAGCTGGGTCCTGCTGAGCACACACAGAGCCACCCACATCCCCAGCCATGTGCTTTTCCCAGTGGAGGTGGACAACAAACACACATTTCAGGCACTGTGCTTGGCGATGCCGCCGTGTGCTTTAACGTCCTCTGCAAACCGGCAGCAGGATTTGCCAGAGCAAGGACGTTTATGGAAAGGCCAATTAGAGCCTGTTTTCGCCCTGTGCCTCTCAGTGAGCAGAAGCGTTTAGCAGCGACCTCCGAGTAATTCAATTTGCACTCAAGCTTTCTGTTTCACCTCTAAAAAATGGGATTGCTCCACAAACTCGTTAGAGAAAGTGGCTCCGAGGCGCTGGCTCCCACCCAGGCTGGGCTCTGCAGGTCCCACTTTGCTGCTGGGCTCTGCTCTCCTCCCAGCGCAGATGTGCTTAGGCAGGAGGGACCTCACAGTGCACACGGCAGAAATTAACCTCCCCGGGACAAATCCGTGCTGCAGTGTCTGTGTGGTGCAGAGGAGCTGCACCAGAGGAACCTCCATCTGCTGCCTCTGGAAGCCTCAGCATCACCTCCCCGGCTCATCCCCGTCCCTCGGGGGGTGGCTGCCACGCTCACCCCTGATCTCCCCCTATCCCTGTTCCCAGCTGCCGCCCGTGACGACGTCCCACGCGATGTTTTATGGGTCCTCCTCCACCATGGCTCCACCATCCAAGAGCCGGCTGAAGCGCCAGAGCCGCCTCTTCTCCCAGGTCCTGTACAGGACGCTGAGCTACAAGGACCGCAGCTCCACCTCCGCCTTCCCAGACGGGGATGACCCAGCTGAGCTCTCCACTCAACTTTCGGCTCCCGGCATCCTGAAGATTTTTGGAGGCAACATCTGTGTGGGCACCAATTACAAGAGCGTTCTGGCCACGGGCAGCTCGGGAGCACTGGAGCTGGTGAAGGAGGCTCTGGAGCGCTACGGGCTGAGCCAGCTGAATGCAGGGCAGTATGCGCTGTGCGACGTCATCGGGAGGTTCGAGGGACCCGAGAAGCGGTGGCAGACTGAGGGGCTGAGGGTTCTCGGGGATCATGAGAAGCCGCTGCTCATCCAGGACCTGTGGAAGCCCCGGGAGGGATTCTCAAGACGGCTGGAGCTGCGGCGGCGGGCGGAGGTGGAGGAGATGGCAGCCAGGGATGTGGATACGACCACTGCAGGTCAGGGGCAGCCGCTTGGGGGTGTTTGTGTGGGGGTGGGGGTGGGGGCAGGAGCTGCGTTTTGGTTGCAGTGCTCTTAGCGCTTCCCTCCGTGGGGAATCTGGGACCCCAGCTGGATGCCCACTTGTGGCATAGAATCTTTAAGGCTGGAAAAGAGCTTCAAGATCACCAACCCCAACCCATCCCAGCATGACACCAAACCACATCCCTCAGTGCCACATCTCTGTGGTTCTGGAACACCTCCAGTGATCCCAGTGACCCCACCACTCCCAGGGCAGCAGTGCCAGTGCTCCTTGGGAGGAGAAATTTTTCCCTGTTATCCAACCTGAGCACCCCCTGGCACAACTCGAGGCCATCACTCCTCTTCCTTTCAGGTGCAAGGAGCTGCTGCAGTGCTCCTGGGGGTCAGGGATGAGGCACAGAGGTGGGTGCCCCTCTCCTCTCCAGTAGGGATCAGGGCAATGCTAAGTGCTTTGCAAAGGTGCCGGCTCTAAAGAAAGAAAAAAACAGTTTTTAAATAGAAAACAGGGCAAGACCTAAGTGCTAAACTCACAGTCAGATGTGGCTGCATGAGGTGGAAGAGCTGTGCCACGGCTCTTCAGAGGCTGCCAGCATGAGCCCAAGGTGACATCAGCTCCGGATGACACCAACCATTGTCCCAGCTGGGACAGGGCCAGCAGCACTCACACCTCAACCCGGGAGCTGTGAGAAGGGCACTGCCCTCATTTCTCATGTTTTTATTTTTTTAAAACCTTTTCTGCAGCCAGTCAGGCTTTTCTGAGACGAAGACCCCCAGCCACAATTATTCATGCTATCTGCTTGACAGATGTACTGCTAAAACCTCACTTCTGCTGCTGTCCCATTCAGCTGGGCCCATCCCCAGCCTCCTCACCCCATGCTGGTGGTGCTGCTCCAAGCACACAGAGCATCTGCTCCCCTCTCTTCAGCAGCACCTCAAAGAGAAATGTGGCTCCTGGTGCAGTGGGGACCACGAGTGCTACCAGCAGGGTCACCCTGCCACCACTCCTATGTCCCTTTGCCACGAGCTGAGCATCAGCTGTGTGCCTGGGGCAGCAGGGCGCTGGCATGGAAAATGCGGCTTCTGTGCAAAACTAAAAGGAGAGGCAGCTGGAGGCTGTCTGGGAGGAAAGCAGATTGGGAGCCATAGGGAAATAGCTGTAGGTAACTGCCCCCACGCAGGGCATTGCAATGGGACACTGCTGCTGAGCCAGGGGAAAGGCCCCACAACCACAAGCCCACAAGTGAGGAAGCAAATGGCTTAAGAGTTTTATCTGCTCGGTTACCCATTATCCTAATTAGTTTATTAGCTGCTTCCCAGGGGGGAGGGAGGTGTGCGCTCCTGGCACCACTCCTCAGCAGTGCAGGTGGAGCAGCTCTGTGGGAAACGAGGCTTCACTCAGCCCTGCTCCTTTTGGGGAGCGATGTGGGGCAGCTGGGGGCAGAGCACCACAAAGTAGGGGTGCATTCAGCTCTTCCCAGGCACCCCATTGCGTGCTGTTCCCTGTGCTGGTTGGGTTTCCCTGTGAAGCTGCAGACCGAACCACGTGCTGTGCAAACCATGGGAGTAAAACCTCTTCCCTTCCAACACGCTCCGTTGGTACCACTGAGGCACACCTTGGCACAGCTGCAGCCAGGGAATGTTCCCTACAGTGGCTGCTCAGCAATTCACATCAGAAAGGGCGTTAGCCCCAAATTAGAAACAAATCTCTCCTGTGTCCCTTGCAGTTATTTATGAGCTGATTCATTTCCCAACCAGGAGCAGGGCACCTCTTCCCTGGGCTGAAAAAAGAGGCAGAACCCGTGGAGATCCCATGCAGCAAACCCAGCAGGTTTAACCCAGGATGTGGGGTGGGTTTGGGGACAGCCAGGCAGGAGAAGGCACTGCTAAAGGGCTGGAGGCATACCTTGGCTAATGGATGGACTTTGTTTCATTCAGGAAAAGAACTGTTTGTATTTCCAGCACAGCTCTGGGTGTGCGGGGGAGTCGGCGACGGAGGCTCTATGGGCAGTGAAAACACAGCTTTTTCCTCAGTGGGTTTCCTATGCAAAGCTAACACAGTACAGACTGCCCTCAGATAAGGGAGCAGTGATGGCAGGGGGACCCCGAGCCCCCCGGCTTGAGGAGCTGCACCAGGGCTGCCCCATGTCCCTGTTTGGGGCCAGGCAGTGGGGTGACACGGTGCACCCTCAGAGCTCTGCTCCCATACTCGTGGCATCCCCAAGTTTCACATCTGCGGTGCAGTGTGATGAACCCCACTGCCTTTTAAAGGGGGCGTGGGGAGGCCCCTCTTGGCAGTGGCTGCAGGCTGTGCTGTGCCCTAATCCCACAGCATGCCAACACCGGGTGCTATTTTCTCCTCCCCCCCCCCCCATCCCTACCATTTTCCCACCAAAGGAGCGCTCGATTTAAAACAAACAAACAAAAATGTATTTTGGTGCATGCAGCCCATTCCTCACCAAATAAGGCAGACGACAGGTTTGTTTTTGGGCTCTGGCTTACATGTGTCCCTTTAAGCAGCCCCAGACTCTGTGCATTGCCGTCCCCAGATCCCTCTGGCTGTCCCCAAGCCCTCCATTCTGCCGTTCTGTAATGCAGAGGTACGAGCTCCGACTCTACAACTTCATCCTATCGCTGCTGCAGAGCCAGAGCCCTGTGGGGGGATCCCACAGGAACTCCACTATGGGTTTGGGGACGCTGCTTCCTTAGGGCTCTCTGCTCATTCGCTCCAAATCCCATTCGTCTTGCAGCCAGCGCTGCTCGGGGGAAGGTGCTGAGCGCTGGGTCCTGCGGCTGCTCTGCGGCTCGCAGCTCCCTGCCTGCTTCCCTGGGGGCTGGGGGGCCTCTCAGCCCCGCTCGGCGCCAGCAGGCAGCATCCAGGCTCTTATTTTTCCGTGGTTTTTTTTCTTTTTTCTCCCTCCCCCCTCCTCTAAAAAAATTCAGCTTGTTTTCTCTCCAGCCCCGCTTTCCACCGGCAGCGCAGGGGATGCTGTGGATGCGGAGCTCCCCGGTTGCCCCGCGGTCAGTGGGGACATGGGGGAGGGGGGAAGGGACGGGCTGCGGGTCCCTCTTTTTGCTATCGAGGGGGCACAAAACTCCCCTCTCTTGGGGGACATCGCCCCGGGGGATGGGGGTTCGCTCCGAAGCCGCCTCCCATTTCCCACCGCAGCGGGTTTAGGGATGCTGCCGGTCCAGCATCGGAGCTGAGCGCAGCGCATCTCTCCCCCCGCAGGCATCAACGCCCAAGCGAGGAAGCTGCAGCGGCACCGGGCGCGGGGGGCCATGCGGGTGCTGGCGGGCGCTAAGCGGCTCGGCACCCCCCCGGCCCTGCGGCGCAGCCTCAGCGAGAGCAGCCTGGGCCGCCCCCGGGACGAGGAGCTCCGGCGGCGCTGCCCCGCGCTGCGCGGCCCCGAGGAGCGGAGCGGGAGCAGCATGCGGTATTCCCTCTACCACTCCCCGCACCTCCTGCTCCTGCAGGGCTACAGCCAGCAGCATGTAAGCACCGCGCAGCTCTCGCCGCCCCGCCAACCTTTCTTTTTTCTTTTTTTTTTTTTGTTGCTCCTAAAGCTTATGGGGATGGGGAGCTTTATGCATGGCCGGTGTTTCCTGGGGGAGGGGCGGGGTTGGGGTGAAAGAGCATCCTTAGGAAAATGAGTTTGTGTGGGGTTGGGATGTGCAATCCGTCCTGCCCGGCTGCGGTGCAGGCTGGGGATGTGGCTGCAGGGCTGGAGGAGAGACGCCTCAGAAAAGCCCCAAGGCAGAGTCCCTGCCCCGGTGCAATGCAGAGCCTGTTCTGCAGGATGGTGCCGAGCGCTGCCCCGTCCCCGTCTGGCTGCCTCCGGTAAATGTAATGAGAGGTGGTACGAGACAGCGCGTCTGGGAGCGCTGGCACTGGGAGAACTGGAAAGGACTGGGACGGCTCTTTTGGTTAATGGTTGCTTTGTCCAAGCGGAATATCTGGCTGGTCCGAGATTTCCAGCTCTGTCCCAATGTGACATCAGCGCTGCAGCTCTCCTCTGTCTGTGCTAATGCAGCTGGGGAAACTGAGGCACCGGCGTGCAGGCAGACAGGGGCAGCCTCCCCAGGCTGCTTGGTGGCCATCGCTGCAGCTGGGAGGAGGGCTCCTTCTGCCCAGAGCAGTCCCATCTGTTACATGCCTGGAGTTACGATGCCCATTTGCTGGGCTCGCTGCTCTGCCCGTTTGCACATCTGGGTGCAGAAGCAGCAGGGTGCACACGGGTCCTGGCTGCACTGCCCGCGCTTTTTGTGCTGCGTGAGCTCCCCATCTGTGCAAGGAAAAAATGAAGAGAGAACCGTGGTTCTGCCAAGGCCATGCGTGGGGGCGGCAGGGAGCCGTAGACCCCACTGATTCTGCATGCCCCCCCCTCACAGGACAGCCTGGTGTACCTGCTGAACCGCGAGCAGCACACGGTGGGACAGAGGACGCAGGCGAGCAAACCCAGCATCAGCCTTTCGGCGCCGGACGTCTTACCCCTGCACTGCACCATCAGGAGGCTGCGAGCATCGTGGCAACGCTCGGAGGAGAAGTTGGTGCTGGAGCCCATCGCCGGTGCCAGCGTCTCTGTTAACTTCTCCGCGGTGACCCGGACCGTTGTGCTGCGGCACGGGGACCTGCTGTCCCTCGGGCTCTATTACCTGCTGCTCTACAAGGACCCCACGAAGGCACAACCGCTGCCGGCACAGACCCTGCTGAGGCTGCGGGCCCTGCACCCCGATGGCCCCTCTGTATGTGGGACGTGCGGCAGCCTGCTGAAAGAGCGGGGGGGGCTCGATGCCAACCGACAGAGCCCTGAGCCCGGCGACGGTCCCAGGGCTCCCCGCAGGAGGCTGCAGCTGGAGTTTGAGCCAGAGGTCGAGGATGTGCTGCTGCGGCGCATCATGACGCTGATCGAGCCGGGGGGGGATGACCACAAGCTGACGCCTGCCTTTCTGCTGTGCCTCTGCATCCAGCACTCGGCCACCAGCTTCCAGCCTGGGGACTTCGGGCAGCTGCTGCTCAAAGCGGCCAAAATGATCCAGAGGACAGTGTGGGTCAGTTGGCACTGGGGGGGGGGAGGGACGGGACAGCAGGGATCCCCTCAGCTCCCACCCTGGTCCCCATGTGCAGCAATGCCAGCAGTCACCATCTGTGCTCTCTCTTTCTCTCCCTGCCCAGGAGCGCACACGGGAGCTGGCTGAGAAGCAATCCCAGCAGTAAGTGCCACCCTTCTTTCTTTGCCCCCGAACTGGGAGAATTCAGCCCAATTCTCCCTCCCTCCCAGCTGTGCCCACCCAGCTGCCAGCACAGATGCACATGGCATTTCCCTGCTAAATCCCATGAATTTGTATCTGTCCTCATTTTGCCACTGGCCCCACTGCCAGTCCCAAATTCCAGGCTCCAAAGCAGCATCTGGAGAAACCATCAGTGCTTTTGCTGAGGTCTCCTTTAGGGCAACCTCCCAGCCCTTTGCTACAGCAGGAAAAAGTGCTTCAGCCATTGAGAAACCTCCCAGCTGCTTTCTATTTGTTTTGTTTTATTTTGGAATGGCCCAGTGCTGGGCAGGCTGAGTTTAACCACCAGACCTGGCAGCAACAGCAGCACAGATCTGTTGGGGAGATCTGCTCTGCAGCAATTCCTGCAGATGGGTTGGATCCATTATTGGGGTCCCCCAGTGGTGCCAACAAAACCTATCCTGCAGTGCAGGATCTCCCAGCTTGCTGCTTGCACAGGGCTTTCCTAAAGCTCAGCAGTGGGATACAAAAGCTCTCTGCTGCTTTTTGGGTTGGTTTCACCCCAAATCCCTCAGTGATGAGCAGTGATGCTGCAATATCTGCTCTGTCCCCCCCCCAGCCAGGACCCTGCTGCCCTGTCGTGTTTCACCATTGCGGACCTGCTGCCAGACCTGCAGCACATCCTCTTCTGGATGTCCAACGCCATTGAGGTGCTCTACTTCGTCCAGCAGAAGTCCCCCACCTACATCCAGAGCATGGAGGAGGAGATGGATGTCAAAGGTAGTGCTTGGGGCTGCTGCTCACTCCATGGCCCCCCTCGACCCTGCTGATCCCTGCCTGCATGCAGTGCTTGGTGCCCTTGAGATGAAAGGGAAAAAGGGGAAAAGGAGGAAATCAGCTTCCAAGTCCAATTTCATCATGTTTGGGGGTGTCATGCTGCTGATGTCAACCTGGGAGAGTCAGTAACCCCACCCTAAGGGAACATGGGGTGCGGTGACCTGCAGGGTCTGGGGCTGCATGGGTACCTGCAGCCATCAGATGGCCCCGCCAGGTTTGCTCCCTGATTTCTCCCTCCATCCCTTAGGCTCCAAGGAGTCTCTGTTCTCCTCGACCATCACAGCCAGCGAGGAGGCGATGACGGTGCTGGAAGAGGTGATCATGTACACCTTCCAGCAGTGTGTCTATTACATCTCCAAGGTACGCAGTGCCCAGGGGCCCCGCCGCCAACGTGAGCATCCCCAGCAGTTCTGCAGGAGTTGTTCAGCTTCTGCAACACAGAGATGTTTTCCTTCGGGCTGAAGTGCCTCGCTTTTGGGCGCAGCCCAGGAAAAGTATTGGATGACCGTGGTGTGCTTCCCTGCTTGGGAGGAGGTGTTGGGGAGAACATAATGCTGCGATTCAGGGCACGATGGAAAGCAGCCCCGGGGCTGGTGGGGAACAGAGCAGGCAGTGTGTGGCCAGAGAAAGGTGTCTGTGTGCAGGGATGCTCCGTGCCTCTCCCTCACCCTCACCCCAGCAGTGATGGGTGTAAGGTGCTGCTCTCCTACCCAGGCTCCTGCACAAGTAAACAAACGGGCCGGGTTCTGTTCAACTCAGCTCCTTCTGCTTCCTGCAGTGTCTGTACATCTCGCTGCCGGCCCTGCTGGAGTGCAACCCCTTCCAGAATGAGTGCCATGAGGGCTGGCGGGCGGCCCCACCGCTGCCCGAGGAGCTGCGTCGCGTGGTGCTCATCTACCAGGCAGCCCTGGACCTGCTCCGGCAGTACGAGGTGCACCCTGAGATCACCTCCCAGATGTTTGCCTACCTCTTCTTCTTCTCCAACACGCTGCTCTTCAACCAGCTCCTGGATAAGGGTCAGTCCCTGTCCTCCTCTTGGTTCTCCCTCATTGGGCTGATGCTGGGAATAGACCTTCTGAGACCCCCCGTCCTTCCCGGTGCCCCCTGGGGAGAGGGGCTTTGAGCAGCTGGAGGTGGGCAGGTCCCACACCGGTATGGGGAAGCCAAGCACAAATCTGGCTGCTGAGCCCACGTCTTTTCTTTCCCAAGTGCTCCATCCCCAGCATCCTGCTTGTTTTCACATTTCATGGCTTTGGCTTTTGCTGTGCCAATTTGCTACCAGGATCTTATTGAGCTGTTTCCAAGCACAGTTCCCCTGTACCCATAGAGCAGACACAGGTGCTCCCTCCAAGGTTCCCATTTCCAGGAGGGTTTTAATCCCAACCCCAAATCCAAACACATCTCCAACCCCATCCTCATCTTCAACTCTAACTCCATTCTCATTCTCATACTCAAACCCATCTTCAACCCCATTCTCATTCTCCTCCTCATCCCCAAACCTAAACTCATAATCAACTCCAGCTGTATCTGCATCCCCATCTCCAAACCCATCCTTGACCCCAACCCTATCCTCACTGTCAATCTCAATCCCAACCCCAACACTTTTCAGTCTGAAAGCAGTTTGCTCCACAGAGAGCTTCTCACTAATGAACCATTGCACCCTGCCTTGTAATTGAGGAGCAGGATGGTGCTCGTTAACCCTAATTATCACTAACCTCCCTGCCTCGCGGCAGTCTCCTTGCCCCAGCCACAATTACTGCCAGGCAAGGTCCTGCCACTGAGTCACAGCCACTGGGGACATTAACGTGGGGACATATGTGGGGATTTGTTCTGTAGGGCAGCCCTATCCTACCCTCTCTGGCTGAACGTGGGGGTTCCATTGCCCAACCCGTGCTGTGCCCCACAGGCTCCTCTCTTGGCTGCTTCCATTGGTCGCAGGGCGTGAAGCTGCGAGCCAGCATGCGGCTGCTGCTGGAGTGGCTGCGTGGAGCCGGCTTTGAGCAGCTCTCCCAGCAGTTCTTTGCTAAACTCACCAGCGTGGCCAACCTGGTGGCCATGCCCGGCTCCCAGCTGCTGCAGGTGAGGTGCTGGCCGCGTTGGGTTTGGGATGGGGGTGATGGGATGGTATTCACCCCCTGTGCTGTCTCTTTGCCCAGATGACGTGGCCAACCCTGAGAGCTGAGTTCCCAGCGCTGAGCCCTGCGCAGCTGCATCGGGTGCTGAGCCAGTGCCAGGCGGCCATGGAGGTGGGCAACGTGGCAGCATGGCAGCCCTGGGATGAGGAGAGCACGGCCGCCTTCCAGCCTGGTGAGCCCCCTGCCCTGCATGCTGCTGTCACCCAAAAGCTTTTATGGATCAACCAAATGGGCAGTGCCCTTCAAACTGCAAGGGTCTTGTGGGTCACTGCGGTCATCAGGGGTAACCGTAGTCGTATGGCACTGGGATGCGAAGGATGCAAGTGTGCTCAGTGCCCTGCGTACCCAAGTGATGCTGCTTGGAGGCATAGTGGGGCTGTGGGGCAGGATCTGCCTGCTCTGCCATCCCCCTACCTCTGCCCTGCAGACGCGGTGCTGGAGTCTTTCGACAACCACCCTCCCATCGTCCTGCCCAGCGCGGGCTTCAAGGTGGACCTGGAGGTGGAGACGTTGGATGACAACATCTACCGGCACCTCCTCTACGTCCGCCACTTCCTCTGGAGCCTGCAGAGCAAGAGCCCCCAGGGCAGCGAGGGGCCGTGCTCAGCCCCTCCAAAGGTCAGGGAACCTTTCTTTTCACAAGGAGCAGTCAGGTGTTGCAACAAGGGAGTGGTGGGGTCATCATCCTTGGTGGTGTTGTGGAACCGCGTGGATGTGGCACTGAATTGGTTTGGTGTCGTGGTGGGGTTGATCTTGGGGATCTCGGAGGTCTTTTCCCACCAGGAGTCTCCTCCTGTGCTGGGGATGCTCACAGCCACCACAGCCACCAACCTGAGCAGCGCACAAACTGCTCAGGTTTCGATGGCAGGGTGATGGGGGGCACCTATGGGGTGGCAGCTGCTTACCTAGGTTCCCACTTTTCTCCTTATTAAGAGCGAGCCACCGATCGTGCCAGAAGTGCTGGAAGTGACTCCAAGCCTGGTTATGACCCCAGGGAGCACTGTTCCCCCATCGGGCCGCTGCACCCCGGGGGGCTGCACCAACCTGGAGGCGGATGAGCCCCCCCCACTCACCTCCACCACCAATGGGTGCCCCTGCCAGCACACCGCCGGCGAGCAGCAGCTCCAGGAGAAGCTCCAGCAGCTGCAGCTGGGCAGAGGCCCGGCCCCCCCGGCCCCCTCCTGCCTGCTTACACCCCCCACCACACCCCTGAACTTCGACTCTGCCTGCCCCGAGTCCCCGCAGGGCACAACCAAGGGGCTGCAGGACCCGCGGAGGAACGGGATGAGCAGCGCCAAAAGTGGCAGCCCTGAAGGTAAGGAGGGCTGACACTGCCTGAAAGGGTGCGGGAAGGGGGGGACAGAGCCTGCACGGCCACACTGGGTGCCCATTTCCAGCACACGTGGCTCTTGTGCGGATTTTCAGTGCTTGGGCTCGGGGAGAGCATGTAGAGCGTCTCACCGTTCGTGGTCCCAGAAGGGAAGCAGCCCTAGGGAGAGCCCAGGTTGGCTTTGGTGGGAATTCCTCGATAGAGCTGATGGGGGGGGTGATGGAGCAGTAACCCGGTGGTCCCCCTGCTGGCAGGCTGCTCGCCGACCCCCTACGACTTCCCCACGCCAGAGTCCTCCAGCCGCAGCTCGGCCACCGACGACTTCTGCTACGTCTTCGTGGTGGAGCTGGAGAGGGGAGCGCTGGGGCTGGGGATGGGGCTGATCGACGGCTTGGTGAGTGCGCAGCAATGGCTCTGCCAGGAGCTGTGGGGGCACGTGTGGCATGGAAAGCATAATTACCAAAGCTGATGGCTGTGCATGGAACTGAGCAGCTTTGACTGGGGCCAGTGAGGCGCGGAGCGATCTCTAGCAGCTCTGCTGTGGGGTCGCTGCCTGCTATGCCCGGCACAGCTGCCTGCAGCTGGAGGCAGCCAACGGGGGGAGGAAGATGACTCAAGTGAGGGATTTCCTCCATCCTTTGGTGCGTGGCAAAGCCAAGCAGGGCAGCGGGGAGGGATCACAGGTTTCCCGTGTCCTCTCTGCTCGCTCACTGCCTCCTTCCCAGCAGCACACACCGCTGGGCTCCCCGGGCATTTACATCCGCACGCTGATTGAGGGCAGCCCCGCGGCGGCTGATGGCAGGCTGGCCGTCGGGGACCGCATCCTGGCCGTCAATGGCACCAGTCTCATCGGGGCCGATTACCAAAGGTGGGTGACACCCCGCTGCTGGGGCTGGGATGTCAGAGGTGGGGAAGGCAGGTGGTTGGGGTGGGGTGAAAGAGGGAGCGGGGAGAAAAAGCATAGGAGCGCATTTCAGAGCTGAAGATGAGCCCGGTGTGGCTGCTGCTGTCATTGAGGGGATGATGGAGGTGGAGATGTGTGGATTCAGGATGTGGTCCTTGGTGCACAGATGTAGCACTCATCTCTTCCTGTTGTCACTCCGCAGTGCTGTGGACCTCATCCGCTCTGGAGGGAAGAAGCTGAGGTTTCTGGTTGCCAAATCAGACATGGAAATAGCCAAAAAAATCATCTCCAGCTCTGCATCCTCTTAACTCTCATATGAGGTATGAGGGTCTGTCAGCAGGTGCAGCTCTGGTTAGGGTCGAGCTGATGGAGCCCAGGGTGCACAAGGGAGGGCCAGGACTGCACAGCTGCCCTCAGTTTGCTTCCCAGCACCTTGCCCTGCGCTGCAGTAGATGGAAGGACACACCGGGGTGCTGCACGCTTCTCCCCAGCAGCATAGAGCTCCTTGTCCCTCCCCAGCTGATGGCCCCGCATGGCCCTGCTTGCCCAGTCATGGGTGTTCAGGATGCCGTTCCAGTTCTCCTGTTACACTTTCACATTTGCAGGTCAGGTTCAAGACAGCACTGGGATATCAAGGTTGCAGAGCCAGGCCCTGACAGCAGTGGGGTGGGCTGGAAAAGAAGCAGGTGCGGGAGCCCAGCCCTGTGATGGTAAACACAGCACAAGCACCCAGAGCAGGATCCCAAGCAGGACGCCTTGCCGGGAGCTCCGGTGCCATACCTGACATCAGGTGCCTTTCTGCTGCTGGGCTCCGATCTCACTGCCCCCAGCCCTGCTGCAGGAGGGAATGCAGCTTCAGCCAAGGGCTGACACCACCAGCAGTTCCCTGAGACAGAGCCCTGGAGAATAGGGCTCTCATCCTTGCACTGGCGCTACAGCCCTGGCAGATCCCCAGCCCGGCCCTCAGAGCTGGCCCAGCAGAGTGGGGCGTTATGGAGCAGCCAGGTTCACTTTCCCCATGCAGGAGGTGTTGGCACCGCATCCTGTCCACTCCCTCCTTTCAGGGCCATTGCAAGGCTGCCCTGTATCCCACCCAGCTCAGAACATCTCAGAAGTGCTGCTGCTGATGGGCTACCAGGTGATGGGATGCAGAACAGGCTGGAAGAAAGTCAGCCTTTCAGAGTCCCAGCAGCAGTTCTTTGACCCGCAGCCTGCAGCACGGTGTGGCAGGGCTGCACTGGCAGCTCCACCAGGCGACTGCTTGGTCCCTGCATGCACAGCTTCTAAGTCTTCTGCGTGCTTTTAGCAACATTAAAGGGATAAACCCGACCCGATTTCCACATATAGAGATATTGAGATCTTGTTTAGCTGAACCCTATTAAAACAGTCTGCCATGAAGCCCTGCATCAAGCCCTGAACTTACAGCAGCATGGTCTAAGCTCCGGCAGCAAATCAGATATTACCATTGCATCTCACAACAACAGCTCTCCGAGGATTGTGATGCTAAAAAGGGGATGCTTAACAGGGTTGGCCTTAATTAAACCTCAGATATTTCACTGCTACAGTTTGCTTTCTGGGCTCAGTCTTGCAGTTGGCAGGAGATGTCAGAATAATCTGTGCAGGAGAAACACTTCACACACCAGATTTGAGTGCAGCCTGGCCTGACTTCTCTAAGGCAAGACGGACAAAGAACCTTTACTGAGACAGTTAGTGCCTTGCTTTTCTGCTGGGCCATGCTCATACCAACCAGCCTCCAGCAGGGACTGGAAGCAGTGTGTCACTCAGCCACTGACTCAGCTCTACTGGGCGAGCAGAGGCTCAGGGCTCCTGGTGACGCTGGTGATTCACTGGACTTTGACTCAGGAGGTGAGCTGGTTCCTGAGCTCTGCAGAGCAGGAAAGGGGCTGCTCAGAGCCCCTGGTAAAATTGCATGCACTCCTTCCTTCTCTCTCTGCCCAGGAACCAGGGCTTCGTGGTGGCCTGGTGTACACTAGCCTGAATTGGAGCTGCACTCTGGCCAATTCAGTCATACCAGAGCAAAATCCTTTGCTCTCTCTGGGGCCTGACTCCCTAAGCACACCTGGAGGCACTGTACGGCCCCAGAGCTTTATGTTACAGTGCAGTGAGGTATTGAAACAAATTGTGAACAAACCCTAGTATTTACTAGTGTGCATGAGGGCTTGCTTTTCCTGGGAGGAGTGGGATGTATTTACTTTTCTGTTTGTTAATACTGTACAGCTCAGATATGTATAATAAACTTCTTGTGCAGATAAAGAGCACAGCATGGCACCTGCTTGACAGGGGGCAGATGAAAAATGCTCTTGGTGTCAACAATAAACTGGAGTGATAAATCTCTCTAAGCTCCTGTCTGGTAAATGTCCCTCACATCTCAATGTGTTTGCTGTGAAAGTAAGACAAAAGAGCAGTGAAGGCACACAACAGATTTAATGGAGCCACTTCTGCTTTCTCTGCCTCACAAAGAACTTTGCTTGGCAAGCAGAAGTGACAGGAATCACGTGTGTAGCCAGGGTGCAGTCAGGGGAAAGGAGAGAAGAGGATGCATGTCAACAAAGGGATGTGATGGGCTGGCAGGGTGGTAATGCAGGCACTCACTCACTCATTCACACAAACCCACTTATTTTCAATCCATACTGGCTCGGGAGAGGTAGGACAGGAATAGGAGGTAGAAAAAGCAACAGATGCTACCAGAGAGATGCACAAAAACAGGCTGCAATCCAAAGAGCAGCGTCAGCTCTACTTATTCCTGTTTTCTGTTTCGTTCACAATCATTTGTTCCTCGTTTCCAGTTCAGAGCACTCAGCCTTGAGTGCTGGCTGTGTCAGATCAGTTACAGTAGAAGCTGGAGCCTCCCACAAACCCCACACCTCACCCCGGCACAAAGCCAGGCGCTGGCTCTAGGAGACGGGTCACTATCCTCAGAGCAGAAGGCAGGGTGTCATTCACCTCCTTCTGAAACCGTGTGCGGGCCACGTCCACAGGTGGTGTGAACACAAACTGAGCCACGCTTGGCATTTTTAGGAGGTTCATGAGCTCGGTTGCCCGGGTAAGGATCTCCTCACGGTCCTCCTCGCAGTACACAGAGGTGACAGCAGGGCTCTGCACAAACGTCCTCATCTTGGACAGGAACAAGGACACCCTGCAGGAGAGAACGACACAAACTTCAGCTGGTAGAGCCTCGCACCAGACAGGGTCACTATGCAATCATGTGTACCACAGAAGACTGTTGCAAGCAAACACCAGATGCCAATTGTCCTTTGTCCTGATGCACAGAGAGTCTGTCAGCAGATGAAGCCCACTTCCTCAAGCTGCCTCCCTACAGTTCGCTTCCTCTGTTCTCTTTCACTTCCAGGCTCTATCAGTTGCCAAGTATCATCATCTAACACTGCTAACATCTGTGTTTGGATCCATCAGATCTGCAAGTTTCTGCCATTTTGCCCTTGCCTGCCATCAGTCCTTACCTGGGGATCAAGTCCTGGCTGCGAGCTGCCAGCTTGGTCAAGGCAGTCATAAGGACAGCGATGGCACGGGGCGCACAGCTGGGGACACTGGCCTGTGGTCGGACCTGGGTGACTTCAAACAGCACAGCCTCCAGAGCCTCAAAGAAGCGGTTGATCTGTTCCACAGTGCAGCGCTTGTCATAGGACACAGACATGTACTCTCCAATAGCCCAGACCTGAAACAAAGGCAGATGTACTCGGGGCAACCAGAAGGAAAGGGGATCTTATCACAGTTTAGGCAATAGCAAATCAGATGATGTCATGCTAAGACAGGATAAAGGAGGAAAGAGAAGCTGACCAACAGATGGCGCTGCAGCCCGGACACACTTGGCAGAAGCAGGCAGGCCCCGCTTACCACGTGGGTGAAGATGGGCTCCTTGTTCTGGACGTTGCTGACGGTTCCTGAGAACTCCAGCAGCTCTTTGGACAGTTCCACAACGAGCGCAGGGCGCAGCTTGCAGAGCATCACCAGCTGTGAGCTCAGCACCCTGCAGGAGAGATGGAGAGAGCTCAGACCGCAGCCAAGGCACTTGTCACCAAACCGAGGAGGTGCTGGCAGCATCCAACTACTAACACAGCAGCTGCACGCTCGGGAAGGTCACAACTACAACAGCTGCTGTGCTGCCCTGGGAAGCCAGGCTGCAGGCAGCAGAAGGGCTGAGAGCTTGGCCAGGCCTTCTGTTCTGTCTCACCTATGCACGTCATCTTTAAACGCTGGGATCTCGTAGAGCTGGTCGCTTCTCTGCAGCACCAGCACCACCAGCTGGTTTATCAGAGATGCATCTGCAAACTGAGAAACAACCTCTGCTTCAGCAACACTGGTGACTTCCAGCAACCAAAACTCAAATTGATCAGCCAGAGAGGACTATGCCAGCACAGAGACTGCCTGGTACAGCAGCAGAGCAGTGCATAAAGCAGGCACCAGGCACTCATCCTCCACTTGCTCACAGCTGCCTGGGAAAACAACTGTGAACACTGATACTGCACCACAGAGCTCTCTTCCTTCTTTGGATGAAGCGGGCAGCTCAGTGCAGCTCTCTGCCAGTACTGGACCACCCCATTCTCTCACTCCATATACCCTTCTGCTGAAGTTGCACTGTGTTAACACTCCTTGCAGTGATTGTTCTTCACCTAACAAGAAATCCCCACAGGACGTGTGGAAGTCAAACTGCCCAAAAAGCACTTACCTCAGCCACCACACTGAAAAAGAGCTCCAGCAAGACAGGGACAGTGTCTGCACACTGCATGACCCTTGGGCTGCTTGCCAGGGATCCCAGCAGCTGTCGGAGTGGAATCAGCCTGCAGGCAGTAAAGAAGCTACTGATAAAGGTGTGCTCCCAACTACTCCCTTGTCTTCCCTTCCCTATAGCCCACAGAGCCTTAGAGCACTTGGCAGAACTCATGCAGGGAGGGAAGGTCAAGCCCACCTCAGCCCAGATGAACGCAGCTATGCCTTTCCTAGCAATCCCAGTGCTGCCTTCCAGACTTGGCAGGCCGAATCAAACCCTCTTGGCAGTCTCCTAAAGCAACCTCCTACCTCTCCTGGAAGTCTTCAGAAACAGATTCGACACGGAGAAGGTACTGGAATGCACTCCTGTAGAGGGGATTGCGAAAGGCCTCCATGCAGGCAGCTGGCTTCACAGCAGGATCACAGGCAGCCCTCTCAGCAGATGGGAGAGAGGAAGACCTAGAAGGAGGGACACACAGAATGTGCTGAATTGTAAGAATGGGCCAGGCTACGGCTGGAATCCTGAGCAATGGAGTAACACACTTGCTGCTGAAACAGGGACACATTCACTTGGTCTAACCCAAGTGCCCTGAAAGCCAGAGAGCCAGAATGCCTGAAGTGGTGAGAAACAGACCTCAACCAACTTCTTGTATCTAGGATGGCTTCCTTTTCTGAGCGCTCCAAAAAGAGCTGCTAATGTCAGAGAACAAAAGGAAGAGCAGAAGTACAGCAGTGAGTACAGCCAGCTCCAATGCTTTCCCATCTCCCTGGACACTCTTCCAGTCCACTTTTTCCCAGTTTGGGAAAAAACTTCTGTCTGCTTCCAAAACACAGCCAGCAAAGGGGAGCAAGAGCAGGAAAGGGAGGGACGACCCACTAGTCCACATCTCTGTGGAGGCAGTGGCTGATGGCAGACACTCCAGCACAAGGCAATAGTTTGGATCTGTATGCAGGTGATGAAATGACAACAACTCTGAGCTTCAAAGACAGCCCAGTACTGAGGTGTAACAGCTGTCTTTCTGTGCACATCACATTACCAGGAAAATTGGGCTGATGTCTTGTGCAGCTTTGTGCTAACCTGACTGCAGCCTCTCACTCCGACAGCAGCAGCCAGAGGGCAGCTGAAGCTCAGGGAAGCGTGCAGTCAACATCAAAACCCTGATAAGCAAGTGAGAGGAAGGGCAGTTAGCATTACCTCATCTGCACATCCAGAGCTGCTGTCAGACAGGGCAGGTCAAGCAACAAATGGAAAATCTCAATGGCTGTCCCCGCATCCAGCAGAAATGGAAGAATATCCACAAACTCAGCAATAAGGGGCGGGCTGTTCCATGCCAGAAACTGTAAGAAAGCAGTACAGACTGCTGCACTATCCCCAGGGTTCCACCACATGGCCAAGACAATTCTCACACTGTGACCAAAAGGGATCAGGAACGGAAAGTCACTTCTGAAAAGCAGAAACAAAGACTAAGAGTTCAGCCAAGAACCAGGGAGGCTGCTGGTGGCTCAACACACGCACTTAGAAGCTGATTTAATGGTGAGCAATTTGAAATGTTTCAAGTTTCCCAAAGCCAAACTGCTGTGTCCTAACTGTGCACCCTGCACTACGCACTGACGTAATACCAACCCACACTCCCCTCTCCTGGCAGAGCTAATCACACCCAGAACCCTCTTTCCACCTCAAACTCGCTATTTTCTAAGTCTTTCTTACCCACCCCTCTTGCCTGTGCCCTGCCACAGAAGTATAATGGTGGGCTGTGGAGTGTGCTGAAAGCAAGGATTTGGAGGCATAGAAAAGAAGCACAGCAGGCTGTCTCCTGTGCTGCTCTGGCAAGATGTACCTTGAAGAGATTTGGGAAACTCTGCCTGAATATGCTGGAGGTCTCAGTGAAGAGCCGGCTGTTATCTTTGCAGAACAGGACAAATTCAAAAGCCAGAGACGAGTTGTGGAAGAGCTGAGCTGGGATATCAGTGAATAAGTGCTTGTAGATTGCATCAGAGTCCACAGCAGCCATCTCGCCTGGGAGGATACAGCACATTCCTGAGCACAGCTCACCCAGCAGCCCTGTCAACAGGGGCTCCAAGGGATATGCAAAAACTAAATCTGGGTGTGTTTTTCTACAAAACACAGGACAGCCCAGCTTCTGACTCTCCAGGAGTGGGATCATGAATCCTGGAGTACAGCCAAGGCTGAATTATAACCTCCAGCAGCCAGCAAACTGCCAGGACAAAAGCTGTGCTGTGAGTATGCCAGACTTATTTGTGGAGGATGACTTACCATGATTTAGGAAGAACTGGGCAATGGGCAGCAGTGCCCTGGCATAAGTGGCATCCCCGCTGATCCTGCCATGCAAGATCTTCAGGAAGGATGCTGCACGGTACACATAGGAGGAGTCCTGTTTGCAGATGATGTCCATGATTGTCACTGCCTCAATGAGACACTGCAGAAGGGCAGAGAGCCAGATCACAGTGGGAGGAAGTCACAGCACTGAGAGCTTCAGCCCCATCCCCGTGTACTTACAGCTTTCTGCAGGTCTCCATCAGCTTTCTTCAGGGCCTCTGCCAGAGAAATATGTCTAAGTTAAATCTGGAGTCCAAACAGGAATGTTAGG